TCTTTGTCAGTACAGCCCTTTCAATGTGAAACCGCATTTATAGACGGCCTCATAACACACCGGAGATAGAGACATGCACACTGATAAGGATCGAACCTGAAAGGCCAACACAAAAGATCCGTATTGGGTCTGTTATGAGAATGTAGGCTTGTCATGCATTACACAAGCTCGTACAATCATTGTTCGAGTTGTTGTTGATACAAACTCGAATTGTTTTTTCTCTATATTTTAACTTGCAAACTTTCTAGATTCTTAATTATCCTATAATAATAATTATCATAATAAGCTTGCATGTGTGATAACAATGACACTCACGAGATAAGAACAAGCATACTGCTGCGATAACGTGTAGTTCACGTTATCGTTGGGCTGGAATGAAGAAGGACTGGTTAACATAGTCTTCCTACCGAGTAGAGTGATTTAAATTTTGTGATCATACCCCCGGGTGAGCTTGACCGCGTTGAACCGCCATCCAGGTTAATAGAGCATAGATGCACAATATGGTCAAGATATCAGTTAGTATCGATTTTCGTTTTCAAGAAGCGCTTTCCTTTTTCTACTACGACGAACTTCTCTAATACCGCCATACTTTGATCAGTCTTTAGCAGAAAGCTGTTCTCAGACAACCGCCAGTTGTTATTACAAATGCCCTTTCTTTACTTAATTCTTTAGGGGGAAATAAGGATGAAGAGGACAAGTATGTTTAAGTTGGCAGAGTAAATCTACTTTGCTATACCATTCGAGCTTATTAATCTTATTATGATTTTCTTGGGCAATTATATTATATTTGGACTTTGTTATGCTCGAGTCCCATTGTGTAGGGATAGTTTATTTGTGTTTAGAAAGATACGGTTGTATGAAATTAATGTTGAAGATTCAATCAAGATCAGAATGACTGCCCAACGACAATGATTTGACATGGTATGTTGCACCGTCTCTTGGGTGGATACACGTAGTCCGGCAAATGAAGTCCTAATATGCGGACCAAACATGAGATATCTAATTAGAATTATAACTAATGTTGAAGTCGCACTCGGTTTACGTTTGCGAAAATGGTGCCTTTCTGTTCCGCGAATTATTAACGATCTTACGATACAACAGTCTTCTTTCGTACGGTGAGAAATGTACCCTGCAATTCGAATTGTAGCAGCTTACAACGTATGACGATAAATATAAACAAAAGCCGACTGATAGCCTGTCCCCTAACACCGCCTATCCTCGGACAGGCCCTTTTTATTTGCAACATCCTAATCCCAGCAAGTAAATTTGTATCTTTACTCGGGTACCTCAAATATCGCCTGCTAACGAGTCTAAAAATCGTGCCCCAAGTTAAGTTGATTATATTACGATGAAATCTGGTGCCAATGTAGCCAGCTGAACAAGATCGCTTGCGTCTGAACACACGTGATACAATCCCATACACATACCCAGACATTATCAAGCTCTCTTATGCTGTTGTCCGTTAGCGCGTCCTAGCGACTAGCAAGCGATATAGGCAATACCCTTCATTCTGTTTGTTTAGAACAGAGATATCAGATATGATCATTTCAGTAGCTTGCCATTGGCTAGATCATAAACTAACAGAGTTATTATTATGATATTTATTAGGTCGCGTCATGTATAATAAGGGCATTAATATAGTTAACATCATTAACTTGACCGGTCATAGGTGCTAATTCAAACCAACGTGTCTGTTGCTTTAAGAGTTGGCTCTAGCTATTCCCATTGTTAGTCCCCATGTAGATATATATATATATATATATATATATATATATATATATATATATATATAATCATTGTTCAATTTCGAAAATTAGAAAATCTAATGTGCGTACATTTGAAATAATCTGAAGCAAGGATAAATGTATTAGAAAGGTGTAGCTTTGGAAAGCTCTACTTACACATGTTTCGAGTTGGAATGACTGCAAGTTTTTAATGTAAAGCTATCTGTCAACGAAGTGGGCAACATTTCATACTGTTATAAATTGAAATCACCGCGTGGGTCGCGTGAAAGATACCTTCAATGAATGTCATAATAGCACATAGAAGGTCTAGGGAGAAACAAAGGAAGACTAGTTGACAATTTGCGTTTTTTCTTAAATACATTTGCTAGCCCAACGACCACGTAGGTCCCTTTGCTGCCTAGAAAAGAAAGGATCTGGTCAGTGCCCTTGCGTATCAGTTAGACGGCCTTAACATAGGGTCGAATTAAAGGACTCGTTTTCTATATGTACATTTGTGCTATCACTATCGAATACAAACACCAGTATTGTGCCACCCGGCGGCAATATCCAACCGTCAGAGTAGCGAGGCCAAACGATACGAACGATTATAGCTTCGCTGTAGTTCCCATGTGTGAGATAGCACTACACATATAGAACGCTGCTTCGGAGAAGTCTCCGCGGTGTTCAGATGGTTCATTGCCTCTACCATAGCTTGTGTTCACAGTAATTAGCTGTAACAGTAACAATAGAGTGATGGGAAAAAGAGACCAAGGGGTCTCTTCAACATAGCTGTTCAGTTTGTACTCGTTGATTACTTATCAACGTCGTCCACGATGCGGCGTTGACAGCGGGCTCCAATGAATTATTCAGTGAAATTGCCACTTCTTGTTCAAAGGCATTCAAGTTGTCACAAAGCGGCCACAATGAACAGTGCTCCAGTGTGGACTTTTCCCGTAGTTTTTGCCAATAGGCTTCCTGTCGGAATAACTGGCATGCAGATTATTATTATTTAGATTGTTGCAATCACGCTGCTAGCTTTGCCCTTGCAGCAGCAGCAGCAGCAGCAGCAGCGATCGTGTGAATCTCTCTACGGAGCGCAGAAAGCATTGTAGAGGTGGGCAACGCCTTCAAAAATATTTCAATTTATATATACACATGTTATTGTTCTAGTTATTTAGGTTTACGAGTATCTTCCAAGGTGTGCGAGCTCACTTTGTGGGCGTGGCTAGCGTAGGTAGGAACTTTACCAGTCAGCCGCTAGAGACGGAGGATACTGAATATAATAAGTGGTAAATATGGAATACAATAAAAAGGTGAATACTTTGTGACTTTATTTCCACACGATTATTGGCCGGCCAGCACGACATCGCTCGTCGTCCAAAGGTTCGTCCTCTAAACTAGACTCGTCCATCTGTCTGTCCGTCCGTCCTGAATGTTATCATACACATAACACTAGGACATCTGCAAAATGTTTAGAGGGTTATGCCGTAGATATTTCAAGTAGCTAGCATCGTCATCTAAGATTTTCAAATGAGCGTTTGCTTGCCCTGTTCTAGGAGCATGCAGTGTGCATACGTAGTCCCATCGGAGCGGTAGTGGCGTAGTTGGGGGCGTCGGCGATTCAATTCGACCCCCTAAATTAACCGTCAATACTTTTCCATCGAGCTGCCTACAGGCGGCTGAGAAAGCTGAGCTAATTGAAATGAAAATTGTACATAGGGTTGTCTAATGCGTTGGCGAAAAGCTCGCACTAGCTGCGGGATGAACAGACAATCGACGCGTAGAACGAGACTCAAGGGAAGCAGCCTGAGAAAGCAGCTAACACGCGTCATAACAACAACAACACCACATATTATACGGACATTTTTAGTGGAATTGTTACAACGTATAAGTTTACCGCACATATATTCTACAAGAATGTATGCTACAATTCGTACCTCAATATAGTTCGTTTAGATAGTAGATATTGAAAAACCTATAGGCACATATACATAGTTGAAAAATGCGCAAAATTCACTGTCATCGTATCCGCTCGAACACATTCTCAAAACAAAGGGTATTTTTTCGTATGTCTTGATAAACGGGGCGTCAACTTCTGCTCGGTTGGGTTTGATAGTAGTTAATAACTCGACAAAGGTAAACATCTAAACCTAGGTAAGCAAGCGTCCGCGCACAAGCGTCCATCAGGGGATACGCAGTAACTTGGGCACATTTCAAAGATGAAATAACGCGTTGCTGATACGTGCAGCGCTGATATATGCTGTGTGTCTGTGGATATAGGTAAATCCCAACCATCGAACCCGTAACTGGATTTGCTTAAAATTCTATAATCTAACGTAGAGAAATACTAACAATAGTGTCTTTGTTTGTATAGGCGTTTTTTCTATGCTGTGCTCAAGTAGTTCGTCTCGCACTGCATCGAACGGTTGGCATGTCGGTACAAAACTCTATTTCATCATTTTTCCAACTCTTGTCATTACTCTGTTTCACCTTAGGTTATAATTGTCTGTAGCGTTGCTTCATAGCGAAAGTTCAATACGGCGCCCACTAATTAGCAGTTCGTAGTAAGCAGGTGAGTGACATCTGCCCGTCTCTCTTTATGCTTTAGGTACAATTTGTGATTAATAGCCTACCAGAGAACGTTGGTTCTTCTGCTGGTGGCGACAGGTGTAGAAAAATTCGAGCTATAATGCTCCGGGTCTGAAAGATGCATATGCACCGTTTCTGCTGTTGCATACTATGTACCTACATAGTTTTTTTTTTATATAACTCAACAATTTCACTTTTTCGGTCATTGCTAGCTGTTATACCAACTGTTGACAGCTGCGACACTTAGTTCTATACTCTGCCCATAATAGATCACTATTACCGTCGTCTCACATGAGGAATGTTCTTTCTGAAGCCGATATCTATCTTCATATAAATTTATCTTCATAAATATGTGAAAAGTGCTTTGATTCAACAGTTGTTAAACACATTTGTGAATGGGGCATCCGTTTTTTGCACGCCCACATTTACATTACTGTAACCCAAAACCATTAACCGATTAGTTAGTTGCGTAATTTTATATATA